CTCCGCCACGGGACAGTGTCTCCGCCACGGGACAGTGTCTCCTCCACGGGACAGTGTCTCCGCCACGGGACACTGTCTCCGCCACGGGACAGTGTCTCCTCCACGGGACACTGTCCTCCACGGGACAGTGTCTCTGCCACGGGACAGTGTCTCCGCCACGGGACACTCTCTCCTCCACGGGACAGTGTCTCTGCCACGGGACAGTGTCTCCGCCACGGGACACTCTCTCCTCCACGGGACAGTGTCTCCACCACGGGACACTCACCGCCACAGGACAGTGTCTCCTCCACAGGACAGTGTCTCCGCCACGGGACACTGTCTCCGCCACGGGACAGTGTCTCCTCCACGGGACACTGTCCTCCACGGGACAGTGTCTCTGCCACGGGACAGTGTCTCCGCCACGGGACACTCTCTCCTCCACGGGACAGTGTCTCCACCACGGGACACTCACCGCCACAGGACAGTGTCTCCTCCACAGGACAGTGTCTCCGCCACGGGACACTCTCCGCCACGGGACAGTGTCTCCTCCACGGGACAGTGTCTCCGCCACGGGACAATGTCTCCGCCACGGGACAGTGTCTCCGCCACGGGACACTGTCCTCCACGGGACAGTGTCTCTGCCACGGGACAGTGTCTCCGCCACGGGACACTCTCTCCTCCACGGGACAGTGTTTCCTCCACGGGACAGTGTCTCCACCACGGGACACTCACCGCCACAGGACAGTGTCTCCTCCACAGGACAGTGTCTCCGCCACGGGACAGTGTCTCCGCCACAGGACACTCTCCGCCACGGGACAATGTCTCCTCCACGGGACAGTGTCTCCGCCACAGGACACTCTCCGCCACGGGACAATGTCTCCTCCACGGGACAGTGTCTCCGCCACGGGACAGTGTCTCCTCCACGGGACAGTGTCTCCGCCACGGAACAGTGTCTCCGCCACGGAACAGTGTCTCCTCCACGGGACAGTGTCTCCGCCACGGGACAATGTCTCCGCCACGGGACAGTGTCTCCGCCACGGGACAGTGTCTCCGCCACGGGACAATGTCTCCGCCACGGGACAGTGTCTCCGCCACGGGACAGTGTCTCCGCCACGGGACACTGTCTCCGCCACGGGACAGTGTCTCCGCCACGGGACAGTGTCTCCTCCACGGGACAGTGTCTCCTCCACGGGACACTGTCTCCGCCACGGGACAGTGTCTCCGCCACGGGACAGTGTCTCCTCCACGGGACAGTGTCTCCTCCACGGAACAGTGTCTCCGCCACGGGACAGTGTCTCCGCCACGGGACACTGTCTCCTCCACGGGACAGTGTCTCCTCCACGGGACAGTGTCTCCTCCACGGGACACTCTCCGCCACAGGACTGTGTCTCCGCCACGGGACAGTGTCTCCGCCACGGGACACTGTCTCCTCCACGGAACAGTGTCTCCGCCACGGGACAGTGTCTCCGCCACGGGACACTCTCCGCCAAGCACAACGCCCGTCGCCCGCGCTGCGCCGAGCACGCCGTCAAAAGGGGAAGCGACAGCCGGCCGCCCGTGACGGAGCAGAGGGCCTCTCAAGGCCCACCCACCGCGCTCGGAACTCGGCCTTGCCCCTCCGCGCCCCCATAGGCTTCAACAGACTGTTGGGGCAAGTGCTGTTCGCGAGCACCTATGAAGGCCGGCACGGCACTTGAGGGCGTGGGTGGACCCAGCCACCACGCCCGGCCGCCTTTGTCTCCCCAGTGGCGATGTTTACACATCGCACCGGGGTACTCATTTGGGGGCCGAGTCGACCTAGGGGAGGCCCGCGACCGGTTCAAATAATCGTCACCGGCGGTGGCCGTGGACGAGAAACGAACCCCCTCTATCCACCAACGCCGCACTGATCAGCGTGGTGATGAGGCATGTTCAGACACCGCCGCACGATTGGCATCGTGTGGGCAGGAGTTCACGCAGAAGCGAATTCGGACCGGGTATGCGCGAAACTACTGGGCATCTGTAAAAAAAAGAAAAGTAGCTCCATGGCCCATCAGATTCCCTAAGCATAAATACACATTCCGATGAAGGTGATGGGCGGAGCCTCGCCTCGACCGGGCGTCGCCACCGCCCAGCGGAGCCGCCGCCCGCCGCGCCCGGCGGCTCCGCGGTTTTTGCGCGACGTGTCAATCGCCAGCCTCGCCTGGGAGCGAGCAAAAAGTTCGCCGGGCCGCGGCGCTTTGCCAGCCAGGTAACGGGGACCCCCGTGCGCCGGTCCGGCACGTGCAAGAGGCCGTCTCCGGTTTCCGGGAGACGGCCCACCCCCCCTTCCCCACCCCGGAGCCGGTACGGCGGGCGGGCAACTCGGGTACCGGCGCTCCGGGTCCTCACCCGCGGCGCGGAGCGCCGGTACCCGGGGTGACACGGCCGAGAGCGGTGGCCGCCACCCCCCCGCCACGGCCGCGCCTTCGCCCCGTGCCACAGGGCCGCGGCCCGCCGGCCTGGCCCCCCGAACCGGTCTCTCGGTTCGAGGCCGATCCTCCGGGGGGCGACGTGAGGCTATCTCGAGGTGGCCGCCCAGACGTTCGACGCCGTCGGCCCGCCGGGCGACGCGGCGCCCAGCGGCCCCGGACGCGGGGCCGCGGCCTACCGCCCGGTCAACCTTGGCGCCGGGAACGCCGCCTCGTAGGCCTCCACCGCCCGGGACGCCTCGCGCTGCCCGTGAAGGCCGCGAGCCGGCCGACGGCCTTGACGACCGCCGCCTCGGGGCCCGGCGGGGGAGGGAGCCCGCCGGGCGGCGCACGGAGGGGGGGCCCCCGATCGCCGGGGGGGGGGGGGGCGTGGAGGAGGCCCGACAGCGGGGCACCCCCCTGCCCGACTCCGCTCGCCACGGGGCGAGGGGCGCGCCGAGCCGCCGGTTGATCTTCGGCGGGCTCGACGCGCCGCACCCGGCCCCCGAGGCCGCGCGAGGCGGCCCGTCGCATGGTGGAGGGGCCCGGTGCCGAGGGTGCGGCCGAAGTCGCCTCCCACGACCGCCGGCAACGTCGCCCGCCATCGTCCTGAACTCCGGCGGCGTCCCCGCAGGGCGCCGGGTGGCAAGGGGGGGGGCCCTCTTTCTCCGACCCTTGCTCGGGCGCGCGTGTGTGTGTGCTGAAACGCCGCGGACCGATGCCACCGAGAGCAGAGTCTGCCTCTCACGATTTCGCCGAAGGCCAAAAGTCCGGGGCACGGGCACGACCGCGAAGCCCGCCCGGGTTTTTTTCCTTCTTCGCCGTGGGCTGAAGAACGGCCGCCCCGGCCCGCCCCGCCCCGCCCCGCGGGGTGCCATCGCTGGCACCCCGCGGGGCGTTGCCAACGGGCGTCTCCCGCAGGGAAGGCCGCGGCAAACCCTCTCGGTCTTCAAGAGGGCGGCCGCCGTTACAGTTCGAGGTGGCGATCCCTGGACGCCCGAAGCCACCGTGCCGGTCGTCGGGAGTGACGGCTACGGTAAGGGCGGGGGGGTGGTGATGATGGTGATGATGGCAGCCTTCCCGCGGGGTTGAAGCCGTGCTCCCGGCGAATCTCTCCTGCGCTGTCTCCAAGAAGCCCGGCGCATCGGGGGGGGGGGGCGGAGGGAGGGAGGTGGTTTCGGACGCGGATTCCGCGCTTCCTGAAAGTGTATCGTAGGAAGCGGAGGATCTCGTCGGGTGCGGTACTCCCGACGGCCTCCCCCCCCCAACCCCCCACCCGCCAACCCCCCGGAAGACTCACGTCGCTGGCGACGTGAGCCGACATCGGAGCTCCTCGGGCCGGCTCGTCGTCGGAGTTGCCGGCTCGGGGGGGGCCCTCGGCCGTCGCCTCCTCCATGGGACCGCGCGGAAGCCGGAGTCTCGCCCGACTCGGGGAGGCTCTCTTCCTCCCCTCCGGTTCCGCAGTCGTCATCGTCGTCGTCATCGTCGTCGTCGTCGTCATCGTCGTCGTCATCGTCGTCGTCATCGTCGTCGTCGTCGTCATCGTCATCGTCATCATCGTCGTCGTCATCGTCGTCATCGTCCCGTCGTGCGGCGAGGCGAGCGGAGGGGCACCCGAGGGTTCAGCCGCGGCGGGGAACAAAAAAAAAATCGCGAAGAAGGAAAAATGTTGAAGTGACGAGGCGCAGCAGGAACATCCGTGGGAAAAACGCCGGCAAAAGTCTCCCGGGAAACGCACCGCGTATCGACGCTGGGTGCATGATGCTGATGGTGGGATGCAGGTCAAACAATAACAAGCGTGATGCTCACGGTGATGATGTTAATGACGGTGGTGATGGTGGTGTTAATGGTGATCATGTTAGTGATGCTAATGGTGATGATGTTAATGACGGTGGTGATGGTGGTGTTAATGGTGATCGTGTTAATGATGGTAATGATGATGATGCTGCTAATGGTGATGATGTTAATGACGGTGGTGATGGTGGTGTTAATGGTGATCATGTTAATGATGCAAATGATGATGATGTTAATGACGGTGGTGATGGTGGTGTTAATGGTGATCATGTTAATGATGGTAATGATGATGATGCTGCTAATGGTGGTGATGTTAATGACGGTGGTGATGGTGGTGTTAATGGTGATCATGTTAATGATGGTAATGATGATGATGCTGCTAATGGTGATGATGTTAATGACGGTGGTGATGGTGGTGTTAATGGTGATCATGTTAATGATGCTAATGATGATGATGCTAATGGTGATGATGTTAATGACGGTGGTGATTGTGGTGTTAATGATGATGGTGATGTTAATGATGATCATGTTAATGGTGCTAATGATGATGATGCTAATGCTGATGCTCTTAATGATGGTGGTGATTGTGATATTAATGATGATGGCGATTTTAATGATGATGGTGATGTTAATGATGATGATGTTAATGATGATGATGTTAATGATGATACTAATGATGATGATCTTAATGATGTTAATGATGATGTGATGATGATGGTGTTACGATGATGTTATGATATTATGATGATGTTAACGATGATGTTGATGACGATGGCGGTGGCGATGTCCATGCTGTAGGAGTGCCGACCGATCGTGCCCAGGCCAAACGTCCAGCAGGAGCTGCTGTCTCTGATTCTCAAGGATGTGGGAGAGACGGACGCGGGCAACTACACGTGTGAGCTTAGCGTGGAGGGCCTCAGAGTACGCAGGACAGCGGAACTCACCATCACAGGTACCATCATCACCATCATCATCATCACCATCATCACCATCATCACCATCACAGGTACCATCATCACCACCATCATCACCATCATCACCATTACAGGTACCATTATCACCATCACCATCACAGGTACCATCATCAACATCATCATCACCACCATCATCACCATCACAGGTACCATCATCACCATCATCATCACCACCATCATCACCATCACAGGTACCATCATCACCATCATCATCATCACCACCATCATCACCATCACAGGTACCATCATCACCATCATCATCACCATTAACACCATCACAGGTACCATCATCACCATCATCATCACCACCATTATCACCATCACCACCATCACAGGTACCATCATCACCATCATCACCACCATCATCACCATCATCACCATCATCACCATCAAAGGTACCATTATCACCATCATCATCACCATCACAGGTACCATCATCACCACCATCACCATCACAGGTACCATCATCACCATAATCATCACCATCATCACCATCACAGGTACCACCATAGGCACCATTATCATCATCACCATCATCATCATCACCATCATCACCATCACAGGTACCACCATAGGTACCATCATCATCATCATCATCACAGGCACCATCATCACCATCATCACTATCATCATCATCATCATCATCACAGGCACCATCATCACCATCACAGGCACCATCATCACCATCACAGGTACCATCATCACCATCATCATCACCACCATCATCACCATCACAGGTGCCACCATAGGTACCTACATCACCATCATCAACATTACAGGCATCATCATCACCATCACAGGCACCATCATCACCATCATCATCATCATCACCATCATCACCATCATCATCACCATCATCACCATCACAGGTACCACCATAGGCACCATCATCATCACCATCATCACCATCATCACCATCACAGGTACCACCATAGGTACCATCATCATCATGATCATCACAGGCACCATCATCACCATCATCACCATCACAGGTACCATCATCACCATCATCATCACCATCACAGGTACCACCATAGGGACCATCATCACCATCATCACCATCATTACCATCACAGGTACCACCATAGGTACCACCATCATCATCATCATCACAGGCACCGTCATCACCATCATCATCATCATCACAGGCACCATCATCATCACCATCACAGGTACCACCATAGGCACCATCATCATCACCATCATCACCATCACAGGTACCATCATCACCATCATCACCATCACAGGTACCACCATAGGTACCATCATCTTCATCATCATCACAGGCACCATCATCACCATCACAGGTACCATCATCATCACCATCATCACCATCACAGGCACCACCATAGGTACCATCACCATCATCACAGGCACCATCATCACCATCATCACCATCATCACAGGCACCATCATCACCATCACAGGCACCACCATAGGTACCATCATCATCGTCACAGGCACCATCATCACCATCATCACAGGCACCATCATCACCATCACAGGTACCATCATCACCATCATCATCATCACCATCATCACCATCATGATCATCACCATCATCACCATCACAGGTGCCACCATAGGTACCATCATCACCATTATCACCATCATCATCATCACAGGCACCATCATCACCATCACAGGCACCATCATCACCATCATCACCATCACAGGTGCCACCATAGGTACCATCATCACCATTATCACCATCATCATCATCACAGGCACCATAATCACCATCACAGGCACCATCATCACCATCATCACCATCACATGTACCACCATAGCTACCATCATCACCATCATCATCACAGGTACCAACATAACCATCTTCACCATGATGACATGTGATGGGGGTGGTGGGGGTGGTGATGGTGGTGATGGTGGTGGGGTGGTGGTGATGGTGGTGGTGATGTTGGTGTGGGTGGTGGTGTGGGTGGTGATGGGGCTGGTGGTGTGGGTGGTGGGGGTGGTGATGGTGGTGTGGATGGTGGTGGTGTGGGTGGTGATGGTGGTGGGTGGTGATGGTGGTGGGTGGTGATGGTGGTGGTGTGGGTGGTGTGGGTGGTGGTTGTGTGGGTGGTGGGTGGTGATGGTGGTGGTATGGGTGGTGGGGGTGGTGATGATGGCGGTGATGATGGTGGTGGTGGTGATGGTGGTGATGTTGGTGTGGGTGGTGGTGGTGTGGGTGGTGATGGTGGTGATGTTGGTGTGGGTGGTGGGGGTGGTGATGGTGGTGGTGGTGATGATGGTGGCGGTGGTGATGGTGGTGGTGATGTTGGTGTGGGTGGTGGTGATGGTGGTGGTGGCGTGGGTGGTGATGGTGGGTAGGGTGAGTTAGACACGTGTGTGTGTGTGAGTGAATCTAATATCATCAGGGGCTTTGACATAATTTATCGCCCGCCATGAATTATAACAGAGCTGTTCCTTCACTATTTCGCAACCATGAAAATATAAACTCCCCTTGCACGTGACCCCATTAAAGTTTAATCCAGGCCTTATCTTTTGTTCCCAGGTTTTAGTTTATATATATTTTATGTGTTTTGTATATTTTAAAATATATATATTTCAATATATATATTTGTGCCGGGTAATATTTAAAGATGGGAGGGATAGTTTATTTTTTTTTTTACACGGCCCGTTCTCTAGGATTCAGTCATCGCAGACGATTGTTTGTGATGGTGGGAGTGGTGGTGGTAGCGGTGGTTAGTGGTAGTGGTGGTAGTGGTGGTTAGTGGTAGTGGTGGTAGTAGTGGTGGTGGTGGTAGCGGTGGTGGTAGTGGTGGTAGTAGTGGTGGTGGTGGTAGTGGTGGTATTGGTGGTGGTGGTAGCGGTGGTGGTGGCAGTGGTGGTAGTGGTGGTGGTAGTGGTGGTGGTAGCGGTGGTGGTAGTGATGATGGTGGTTGCAGTGGTGGTGGCAGTGGTGGTAGTGGTGGTTAGTGGTAGTGGTGGTAGTGGTGGTGGTGGTAGTGGTGGTAGTGGTGGTTAGTGGTAGTGGTGGTGGTAGTGGTGGTGGTAGCGGTGGTGGTAGTGGTGGTGGTAGTGGTGGTATTGGTGGTGGTGGCAGTGGTGGTAGTGGTGGTGGTAGCGGTGGTAGCGGTGGTGGTGGCAGTGGTGGTAGTGGTGGTTAGTGGTAGTGGTGGTAGTGGTGGTGGTAGTGGTGGTAGCGGTGGTGGTAGTGGTGATGTGGTAGCGGTGGTGGTAGTAGTGGTGGTGGTAGTGGTGGTAGCGGTGGTGGTAGTGGTGGTGGTAGTGGTGGTTAGTGGTAGTGGTGGTGGGAGCGGTGGTGGTAGTGGTGATGGTGGTAGCGGTGGTGGTGGCAGTGGTGGTAGTGGTGGTTAGTGGTAGTGGTGGTGGTCGTGGTGGTGGTGCTGGTAGTGGTGGTGGTGGTCGTGGTGGTGGTAGTGGTGGTGGTAGCGGTGGTAGTGGTGGTAGTAGTGCTGGTGGTAGTGGTGGTCATGCGTGTGTGTAGCAGTGTGTGTGTGTCAGTGTATGTGTCAGTGTGTGTGTCAGTATCTGTCAGGGTGTGTGTCATTGTGTGTCAGTGTATGTCAGTGTGTGTGTCATTGTGTGTCAGTGTATGTCAGTGTGTGTGTCAGTGTGTGTCAGTGTATGTCAAGGTGTGTCAGTGTGTGTGTCAGTGTGTGTGTCAGTGTGTGTGTCAGTGTGTGTCAGTGTGTGTGTGTGTGTCATTGTGTGTGTGTCAGTGTGTGTGTGTCAGTGTGCGTGTGTGTCAGTATTTCCCTGCCTGTGCGTGAGTGCCTGTGCGTGAGTGCCTGTGCGTGATGAGTTGGGGTAGGGGTGGGTGGTATTTCTGAATATCAAAGGATGCGATTCCTCATGGGCCCATTAATTTGAGACTCACCAGAAGCCAACTGGAGCGTCGTGCTCCAGACGAGGAACAGGAGGAAGCTGAAATATTGAACAGATCGCTCGCACGCACACACACGCACACACATGCACACGCACGTACACACACACACAAGTAGATACACACACACGCATACGATGTCGGAGACACTGAGAGTCTGGGTTCGAGCCCTGGGTCTGGGTGTCTCTCTCTCTCTCTCTCAGTGGGTTCACAATGGCCGTGTCGGAGACACTGAGAGTCTGGGTTCGAGCCCTGGGTCTGGGTTTCTCTGTCTCTCTGTGGGGTTCACGATGGCCGTGTAGGAGACACTGAGAGTCTGGGTTCGAGCCCTGGGTCGGGGTGTCTCTCTCTCTCTCTGTGGGTTCACGATGGCCGTGTCGGAGACACTGAGAGTCTGGGTTCGAGTCCTGGGTCTGGGTGTCTCTCTCTCTCTCTCTGTGGGGTTCACGATGGCCGTGTTGGAGACACTGAGGGTCTGGGTTCGAGTCCTGGGTCTGGGTGTCTCTCTCTCTCTCTCTCTGTGGGTTCACGATGGCCATGTCAGATACACTGAGAGTCTGGGTTCGAGCCCTGGGTCTGGGTGTCTCTGTCTCTCTGTGGGTTCACGATGGCCATGTCAGAATTGCTGAGCCCAGTACTGCTGAGATTCAGTAACGCACACACCCACACACATCAGCACACACACACACAGCAGCACACACACACACACAAAGACAAAGATCCCCCGTATAGCCTTAACAGACTGTAGGGGCAAGTGCTGTTAGCGAGCACCTATGAAGGCCGGAACGGTACACGAGGGGGTGGGTGGCCAGCACCACGCCCGACCGCCTTTGTCTCCCCAGTGGCAATGTTTTTATCCCCCGCACCAGGTACTCATTTGAGGCTGAGTCGACCTAGGGGAGGCCCAGGACCGGTTCAGATAATCGTCACTGTTGTTGGCCGTGAGCGGGAATCGAACCCGGGTCGACAGGTTCATAGCGCGGCACGCTAACCACTACACTACCGCTCCCACACACAGCAGCACACACACACACACAGCACACACACACACAGCAGCACACACACAGAGAAGCAGCACACACACACAGCACACACACACACAGCAGCACACACACAGCAGCACACACACACACACAGCACACACACACACAGCACACACACACATCAGCACACACACACACACATCAGCACACACACACACACCAGCACACACACACACAGCAGCACACACACACACATCAGCACACACACACACATCAGCACACACACACACAGCAGCACACACACACACATCAGCACACACACACACACAGCAGCACACACACACAGCAGCACACACACACACAGCAGCACACACACACAGCAGCACACACACAGCAGCACCCACACACACACACAGCAGCACACACACACACACCAGCACACACACACACACAGCACACACACAGCAGCACACACACACAGCAGAACACACAGCACACACACACAGCAGCACACACACACACAGCAGCACACACACACACAACACACACACAGCAGCACACACACACAGCAGCACACACACACAGCACACACACACAGCAGCACACACACACAGCACACACACACACAGCAGCACACACACACACACAGCACACACACACACACAGCAGCACACACACACAGCAGCACACACAGCACACACACACAGCAGCACACACACACACAGCAGCACACACACACACAGCACACACACACACAGCAGCACACACACACAGCAGCACACACACACACACAGCACACACACACACACAGCAGCACACACACACACAGCACACACACACACAGCAGCACACACACACACAGCACACACACACATACAGCAGCACACACATACAGCAGCACACACATACAGCAGCACACACACACACAGCACACACACACACAGCAGCACACACACACACAGCACACACACACATACAGCAGCACACACATACAGCAGCACACACATACAGCAGCACACACACACAGCAGCACACACACAGCAGCACACACACGGCACACACACACACAGCACACACACACACAGCAGCACACACACACAGCAGCACACACACACAGCAGCACACACAGCACACACACACACAGCAGCACACGCTCGAGTTGTCTGCGTGCTAATAGGGCCTCGCGTCGACCTGTTGCATAGCTGCTACTGCTGCTGTTGTTTGTACAATGGGTGTATGTCTGACCATGTGAATATCTCATCCCCCCCGCCCTCTCTCCCCCCCCTCTCCCCCCTCTCTCTCCCCCCTACTCCCCCCTCTCGCCCCCCTCTCTCTCCCCCCCAACTTTCCCCCCCCCCTCACCCCCTGTGGGGTTGTGATTGGTTCAGCTCCTCTCACGACGCGACCGCCCAAGTTGCTCTTCCCTCCGGAGTATCCTGTCGCAGTGATTCGCATCAACCTCGGTGAGGGTCACACACACCACCACCAGCATCAACATCAATCATCACCACCACCACCAACACCATCATCATCACCATCAATCATCATTGTCACCACCACCACTACCACCATCATCACCACCACCATCATCACCACCACCATCATCACCACCACCACCACCACCACCGCCACCATCAACATCAATCATCACCATCACCACCATCAACATCAATCATCACCACCACCAGCATCAACATCAATCATCACCACCACCAACACCACCATCATCACCATCAATCATCATTGTCACCACCACCACTACCACCATCATCACCACCACCATCATCACCACCACCACCACCACCGCCAACACCACCACCATCATCACCATCACCACCATCTCCACCATCAACATCAATCATCACCACCACCAACACCATCATCATCACCACCATCAATCATCATTGTCACCACCACCACTACCACCATCATCACCACCACCATCATCACCACCACCACCACCGCCACCACCACCACCATCATCACTATCACCACCACCACCATCATCACCACCACCACCACCGCCACTACCACCATCATCACCACCACCATCATCACCACCACCACCACCGCCACCACCACCACCATCATCACTATCACCACCACCACCAGCATCAACATCAATCATCACCACCACCAACACCATCATCATCACCATCAATCATCATTGTCACCACCACCACTACCACCATCATCACCACCACCATCATCACCACCACCACCACCACCGCCAACACCACCACCATCATCACCATCACCACCATCTCCACCATCAACATCAATCATCACCACCACCAACACCATCATCATCACCACCATCAATCATCATTGTCACCACCACCACTACCACCATCATCACCACCACCATCATCACCACCACCACCACCGCCACCACCACCACCATCATCACTATCACCACCACCACCATCATCACCACCACCACCACCGCCACTACCACCATCATCACCACCACCATCATCACCACCACCACCACCGCCACCACCACCACCATCATCACTATCACCACCACCACCAGCATCAACATCAATCATCACCACCACCAACACCATCATCATCACCATCAATCATCATTGTCACCACCACCACCACTACCACCATCATCACCACCACCATCATCACCACCACCACCACCACCACCATCATCACTATCACCACCACCACCAGCATCAACATCAATCATCACCACCACCAACACCATCATCATCACCATCAATCATCATTGTCACCACCACCACCACTACCACCATCATCACCACCACCATCATCACCACCACCACCACCGCCAACACCACCACCATCATCACCATCACCACCATCTCCACCATCAACATCAATCATCACCACCATCATCATTATCATCGTCACCATCACCATCAATCATCACCACCACCACCATCATCACCACTACCACCATCATCATCACCACCACTTCCACCACCACCACCACCACCACCGCCACCACCACCACCACCATCAACATCAATCATCATCACCAACACCACCATCATCACCATCAATCATCACCATCACAACCATCATCATCACAATCACCACCACCACCATCACCACCACCATCACCACCACCGCCACCACCGCCACCACCGCCACCACCACCACCACCACCATCAACATCAGTCATCATCACCAACACCACCATCATCACCATCAATCATCACCATCACAACCATCATCATCACAATTACCATCACCACCATCATCATCACCATCAATCATCATCATCACCACCACCACCACCACCATCACAATCATCATCAATCATCATTATCATCATCACCATCAATTATCACCACCACCACTACCACCATCATCACTACCATCATCATCACCACCAATCATCATCAACACCATCACCACCACCATCAATCACCACCACCATCATCGTCACCAGCACCACCACCATTATCATCACCATCAATCATCATTATCATCGTCACCATCACCATCAATCATCATCATCCCCACCACCACCACCATAAATCATCACCATCACCACCATCATCATCATCACCATCAATCATCATTATCATCATCATCACCACCACCATCATCACCATCAATCATCACCATCACCACCATCACCATCAATCATCACCATCACCACCATCATCAGAATCACCACCATCATCATCACCATCAATCATTATTATCATCATCATCATCACCACCATCATCATCAACATCAATCATCACCACGTCCATCACCATCAATCATCAATAATCATTATCATCACCATCTCAATCATCATCACGACCATCATCAATCATCATTATCATCACCATCAGTATCATCACCACCACCACCATCATCACCATCACCACCACCATCTTCATTATCAGTATCATCCCAATCATCATCATCATCATCACCATTATCACCACGATCATTATCATCATCACCACCAATATCAGCACTTCTGCTACTGACCATGACTTCACTGTGGTAGCTTCCCCATATACGTGTATGGGTCTTTGTGTGAGTCTGTGGGTCTCTGTGTGAGTCTGTGGGTCTCTGTGTGAGTCTGTGGGTCTCTGTGTGAGTCTGTGGGTCTCTGTGTGAGTCTGTGGGCTCTGTGTGAGTCTTTGGATCTCTGTGTGAGTCTATGTATCTCTGTGTGAGTCTATGGGTCTTTGTGTGAGTCTGTGGGTCTCTGTGTGAGTCTGTGGGTCTCTGTGTGAGTCTGTGGGTCTCTGTGTGAGTCTGTGGGTCTTTGTGTGAGTCTGTGGGTCTCTGTGTGAGTCTATGGGTCTTTGTGTGAGTCTGTGGGTCTCTGTGTGAGTCTGTGGGTCTTTGTGTGAGTTTGTGGATCTCTGTTTGAGTCTATGGGTCTCTGTGTGAGTCTATGGATCTCTGTGTGAGTCTGTGGGTCTTTGTGTGAGTCTATGGGTCTCTGTGTGAGTCTATGGATCTCTGTGTGAGTCTGTGGGTCTCTGTGTGAGGCTATGGGTCTCTGTGTGAGTCTGTGGGTCTTTGTATGAGTCTATGGGTCTCTGTGTGAGTCTATGGGTCTCTTCGTGAGTCTGTGGGTCTCTGTTTGAGTCTGTGGGTCTTTGGGTGAGTCTGTGGGTCTCTGTGTGAGTCTATGGATCTCTGTGTGAGTCTGTGGGTCTACGTGTGACTCTGTAGGTCTCTGTGTGAGTCTATGGGTCTTTGTGTGAGTCTACGTGTCTCTGTGTGAGTCTCTGTGTGAGTCTGTGGGTCTCTGTGTGAGTCTATGGGTCTCTGTGTGAGTCTGTGGGTCTTTGTGTGAGTCTATGGGTCTCTGCGTGAGTCTGTGGGTCTCTGTGTGAGTCTATGGGTCTCTGTGTGAGTCTGTGGGTCTTTGTGTGAGTTTATATATATCTGTGTGAGTCTATGGATCTCTGTGTGAGTCTGTGTGTATCTGTGTGAGTCTTTGGATCTCTGTGTGAGTCTGTGGGTCTCTGTGTGAGTGTGTGGGTCTTTGTGTGAGTTTATGGGTCTCTTCGTGAGTCTGTGGGTCTCTGTGTGAGTCTGTGGGTCTCTGTGTGAGTCTGTGGGTCTCTGTGTGAGTCTGTGGGTCTTTGTGTGAGTCTGTGGATCTATGTTTGAGTCTGTGGATCTATGCGTGAGTTTATGGATCTCTGTGTGAGTCCATATATCTTTGTGTAAGTCTGTGGATCTCTGTTTGAGTCTGTGGGTCTTTGTGTGAGTCTATGGATCTCTGTGTGAGTCTATGGATCTCTGTGTGAGTCTGTGGGTCGTTGTGTGAGTCTGTGTATTTCTGTGTGAGTTTGTGGGTCTTTGTGTGAGTCTGTGGGTCTCTGTGTGCGTCTGTGGATCTCTGTGTGAGTCTGTGGGTCTCTGTATGAGTCTGTGGGTCTCTGTGTGAGTCTGTGCATTTTTGTGTGAGTCTGTAGGTCTCTATGTAAGTCTGTGGATCTCTGTGGTAGTTTATGGGTCTCTGTGTGAGTCTATGGGTCTCTGTGTGAGTCTTTGGGTCTCTGTGTGAGTCTGTGGGTCTCTGTGTGAGTCTGTGGGTCTCTGTGCGAGTCTATGGGTCTGCAGAAATTGGGACAATTTTCTTAAAAAAAATATTTAGGCTGCTTTGCATTGTCCCACTAATTTATGATTTATTCCCTTTTAATGAGTGATGAGCAGAAATTAATGATCTCGGTCCATTTCAGAATTGATTTATGTGTTGGTGAAGAGTCATTAGACATGCATGCACGTGTGTGTGTGTGCGTGTGTGTGTGCGTGTGTGTGTGCGTGTGTGCTTGTGTTAATTATGCCGTGTCAGAGACACTTAAAATCTGGGTTCGAGCCTTGGGTCTGGGTGTCTCTCTCTCAGTGAGTTCACAATGACCGTGTCAGAGACACTGAGAGTCTAGGTTCGAGCCCTGGGTCTGGATGTCTCTCTGTGGGTTCACGATGTCCGTGTCGGAGACACTGAGAGTCTGGGTTCGAGCCCTGGGTCTGGGTGTCTCTCTCTCTCTCTCTCTGGGTTCACGATGGCCGTGTCGGAGACACTGAGAGTCTGGGTTCGAGCCCTGGGTCTGGGTGTCTCTCTCTCTCTCTGTGGGGTTCACAATGGCCGTGTCAGAGACACTGAGAGTCTGGGTTCGAGCCCTGGGTCTGGGTGTCTCTCTCTCTCTCTCTCTGGGGTTCACGATGGCCTTGTCAGAGACACTGAGAGTCTGGGTTCGAGCCCTGGGTCTGGGTGTCTCTCTCTCTCTGTGGGGTTCACGATGGCCTTGTCAGAGACACTGAGAGTCTGGGTTCGAGCCCTGGGTCTGGGTGTTTCTCTCTGTCTCTCTGTGGGGTTCACGATGGCCGTGTCGGAGACACTGAGCCGATCACTGCTGAGATCCAGAAACACACAAAGGCAAAGATCCCCCGTGTAGCCTCTAACAGGCTGTAGGGGCAAGTGCTGTTAGCGAGCATCGCCTATGAAGGCTACCGGGCACTATGGTTACACAAGGGGGGTGGGTGGCCAGCACCACGCCCGGCCGCCTTTGTCTCTCCCCCAGCTGTTAGCGCTACGCTCACGGCTGCCAACACCACCGGTGACGATTCTCCTGAACCGGTCCTGAGCCTTCCCCCTAGGTCGACTCGGCATCAAATGAGTAACGCAATGTGGTGTTCGAAGTAAAACATCGCCACTGGGGGAGAGACAAAGGCGGCCGGGCGTGGTGCTGGTCACCCACCCCCTCGTGTGCCGTTCCGGCCTTCATAGACGCAGCTACTCCCAAGCAGCACTTGCCCCGACGGTTCCTGCAGGCTACACGGGGGATCTTTGTCTTTGTTTTGTGGTCTGCACTTTACTCTAGCAGGGTGTAAAAAAGGCTACCTGGGGGACCTTTGTCTTTGTCGGTGTGTGTGTCCCTGTGTACGTGTGTCTGTGTGTGTGTGTGTCTGTGTGTGTGTTGTGTGTGTATGTGTGTGTCTGTGTGTGTGTCTGTGTGTGTGTCTGTGTGTGTCTGTGTATGTGTGTCTGTGTGTTTGTGTATGTCTGTGTGTCTGTGTGTGTCTTTGTTGCTCGCTAACAGCACTTGCCCCTACAGTCTGTTAAGGCTATATGGGGGATCTTTGTCTTTGTCTGTGTTGTGTGTGTCTGTGTGTGTCTGTCTGTGTCTGTGTGTGTGTCTGTGTGTCTGTGTGTGTGTCTGTGTGTGTGTGTCTGTGTGTGTCTGTGTGTGTGTCTGTGTGTGTGTCTGTGTGTGTGTCTGTGTGTGTATCTGTGTGTGTGTCTGTGTGTATGTCTGTGTGTGTGTGTCTGTGTGTGTGTCTGTGTGTATGTCTGTGTGTGTGTGTCTGTGTGTGTCTGTGTGTGTGTGTTTGTCTGTTGCACTTGCCACCAGCAGCGCGTGAAGGCTACCGGGCCGACCTGTGTGTTTGTGTCTGTGTGTGTGTGTGTCTGTGTGTGTCTGTGTGTGTGTGTGTGTCTGTGTGTGTCTGTGTGTGTGTGTTTGTCTGTTGCACTTGCCACCAGCAGCGCGTGAAGGCTACCGGGCCGACCTGTGTGTGTGTGTCTGTGTGTGTGTCTGTGTGTGTCTGTGTGTGTGTGTGTCTGTGTGTGTCTGTGTGTGTGTGTGTGTCTGTGTGTGTGCGTGTGTCTCTTCGGGCTTGCAGGGCAGCCGCTGAACGTTACCTGTCGGGCTCTATTTGGCTACAGCGGAGCCGCGTTCCCCTCCGTCTACTGGATGCGTGGCGAGAGATTCATCGAGGAACTCGAAGCCACTCGCATACGGGAGGGAGACTTGCAGTGAGTACACACAGACAAAGATCCCCCGTGTGGCCTCTAACAGACAGTAGGGGCAAGTGCTGTTAGCGAGTAGCAGCAGCACCTATACACAGACAAAGATCCCCCGTGTAGCCTCTAACAGGCTGTAGGGGCAAGTGCTGTTAGCGAGTAGCAGCAGCACCTATACACAGACAAAGGTCCCCTGTGTAGCCTCTAACATACTGTATGGGCAAGTGCTGTTAGCGAGCAGCGCCTATGAAGGCTACCGGCACTGTGGCACACGAGGGGGCGGGTCGCCAGCAACCACGCCCGGCCGTCTTTGTCTCTCCCCCAGTGGCGATGTTTACTGCACAACGTACCGGGTTACTCATTTGAGCCTGAGTCGTCCTAGGTGAGGCCCGGTTCAGGATAATCGTCACCGGTGGTGTTGGCCGTGAGCGAGAATCGAACCCGGGACGCCGGGTTCGTAGCGCAGCGTAGCGCTAACCGCTGCACCACCGCTCCCCACGCACACACAGACACACACAGAAGCACAGACACAGACACACACACAGACACACACACAGACACAACAACAACAACCGCCATTCGCCACTAAGTGGCGGTGACGTCACAACGACGCTTGTGCCAGGCTATGTGCATCTTGAGGCCACGTGAAGTGTCGAACGCCCGCTGGCAGGAGGTCACGGGGCAGACCCAGGTGCCACGGGTCGACTGACTGAGATGACTGGCTGATGCACCACCTGTGCCCCCTACTGTGCCAACCTGCTGTGCTTTAGCCACCCGGCGCTCCGCTCGTTGTTGTGAGCGTCGCTCCTCCGCCCTCCGTTGTTGTTGGAGGGCGACTGCCTCCAACTGCCTGGTAGCAGCGTCCTTCACGAGCCTCCTCCACAGAGGCCGATCTTGACACCGCTGGTACCAGTCATCGGCAAGTCCACTCAGCTCCACGTCCTCCTGTAACACATCACTCCATCTCTTCCCTAGCCCGTGCCGCGCCCGTTTAGCCCCCTCGATCCGGCCGAGCAAAAGCTGTTTTAGGCATGCGGTGGCTGGGAATGGGGGCTACATGACCCAGCCATCGCAGCCTTGCCTGCCGGAGGAGCTCACCGATGGGACCTTGCCCAGATCTTTCAAGGATTTGTGAGCTCCTCACACAATCCAGCCTGGTTAAACCCAGGATGGATCGTAGGCAGGCTAGCCTAAATGTTTCTAACCGGACGAAGATGCTCCATTAGTGGGGTCCACGTTTCGCAAGCGTAGAGAAGGGAGGGAATGACCGTGGCCGAGAAGACCTGAAGCTTAGTGCGGAGCGACAGACCAGGTAGCTTCCACACAGCGTTACGCAACCGATGAAAAGATATTGCCGCTCGACTGATTCGGAGTGAGACCTCTGCTGTTAAACACAAACACACACGCAAACACACACAAACGTACACACAAATACACAAACACACACGCAAACACACACACAAACACACGCACAAAGATACAAAATCACTTTGGCTTTTGAGGTTTTCTGAGAGTGACGTTTTAATAATATAAATGAAAATCCCATTATGGGGAAATGAAATGTTCCGGACCTCCTGCGCGCCGATTTTGGTTTTCTCGAGCTGGAAACCCGCCACCAATCACCACCACCACCACAACCACTACCACCACCACCACCAAACCACCACAACCACCACCACCACAACCACCACTACCACCACCACCACCACCAAAGCACCACAACCACCACCACCACAACCACAAAACCACCACAACCACCACCACAACCACCACTACCACCACCACCACCACCACCACCAAAGCACCACAACCACCACCACAACCACAAAACCACCACGACCACCACCACCACCAAACACCACCACCAAAGACAAAGATCCCCCATGTAGCCTGCGGCAGGCTGTTGGGGCAAGTGCTGTTAGTGAGCGAGTGGCAGCGCCTATGAAGGCCGGTACGACACACACATACAGACACACACACAGACACACACACATACAGACACACACACACAGACACACACACATACAGACACACACACAGACACACACACAGACACACACACATACAGACACACAGACACACACATATACAGACACACACACAGACACACACACAAACACACACACAGACACACACATACATACAGACACACACACTGACATACACACAGACACACACACATACAGACACACACACAGACACACACACAGACACACACACATACAGACACACAGACACACACATATACAGACACACACACAGACACACACACAAACACACACACAGACACACACATACATACAGACACACACACTGACATACACACACACACACATACAGACACACACACAGACACACACACAGACACACACACATACAGACACACAGACACACACATATACAGACACACACACAGACACACACACAGACACACACACATACAGACACACACATACATACAGACACACACATACAGACACACACACACATAGAGACACACACACAGACACACACACACTGACACACACACAGACACACACATACATACAGACACACACATACAGACACACACACATACAGACACACACACAGACACACACACACAGACACACACACAGACACACACAGACACACACACATACAGACACACACACAGACACACACACATACAGACACACACAGACACACACACAGACACACACACACATACAGACACACACATACAGACACACACACGTACAGACACATACACACAGACACACACACAGACACGCACACACATACAGACACACACATAAAGACACACACATACACACACGCAGACACACACATACAGACACACACACACAGACACACACACAGACACACACACAGACACACACACACATACATACACACACATAGACACACACATACACACACACATACACACACGCAGACACACACACAGACATACACACATACAGACACACACACAGACACACACACAAACACACACACACAGACACACACACACATACAGACACACACATACAGACACACATACAGACACACACACACAGACACACACACAGACGCACACACATACAGACACACACACAGACACACACACATACAGACACACACAGACACACACACAGACACACACACACATACAGACACACACAGACACACACATACAGACACATTCACACAGACACACACACAGACACGCACACAGACACACACATAAAGACACACACACATACACACACACAGACACACACATGCAGACACACACACATACAGACACCAAAAGATCAAACAGATCCCCCGTATAGCCTTAAAAACTGTAAGGGCAAGTGCTGATAGCGAGCACCTATGAAGGCCGGCACGGCACACGAGGGGGTGGGTGGCCAGCACCACGCCCGGCCGCCTTTGTCTCCCTAGTGACGATGTTTACTACTACACACCGCACCAGGTACTCATGCTCACCCAGCCACGCACGCATTGACTCACCCAGACACCCACCCACTCACTCACCCACCCACTCACTCACCCACCCACCCACTCACTCACCCAGCCACCCACCCACCCACTCACCCAGCCACCAACCCACTCACTCACCCAGCCACCCAACCACTCACTCACCCACCCACTCACCCAGACACCCAGCCACTCATTCACTCACCCAGACACCCACTCACTCACTCAGCCACAAACCCACTCACTCACCCAGCCACCCAACCACCCACCCAGCCACCAACCCACTCACTCACCCAGACACCCACCCACTCACTCACCCACCCACTCACCCACCCACCCACTCACTCACCCAGCCACAAACCCACTCACTCACCCAGCCACCCAACCACTCACCCAGCCACTCACCCAGCCACTCATTCACTCACCCAGACACCCACCCACTCACTCACCCAGCCACAAACCCACTCACTCACCCAGCCACCCAACTACTCACCCAGCCACTCACCCAGCCACTCATTCACTCACCCAGACACCCACCCACCCACTCACTCACCCAGACACCCACCCACTCACTCACCCAGCCACCCACCCTCTCACTCACCCAGCCACAAACCCACTCACTCACCCAGACACCCACCCACTCACTCACCCACCCACTCACTCACCCAGCCACCCACCTACCCACTCACCCAGCCACAAACCCACTCACTGACCCAGCCACCCAACTACTCAATCATCCAGCCACCCACTCATTCACTCACCCAGACACCCACTAATTCACTCATCCAGACACCCACCCATCCACTCACCCAGCCACCAACCCACTCACTCACCCAGCCACCAACCCACTCACTCACTCAGCCACCCAACTACTCAATCACCCAGACACACAATCATTCACTCACCCAGACACCCACCCATCCACTCACCCAGCCACCAACCCACTCACTCACCCAGCCACCAACCCACTCACTCACTCAGCCACCCAACTACTCAATCACCCAGACACACAATCACTCACCCAGACACCCACCCATTCACTCACCTAGCCACCAACCCACTCACTCACCCAGCCACCAACCCACTCACTCACTCAGCCACCCAACTACTCAATCACCCAGACACACAATCATTCACTCACCCAGACACCCACCCATCCACTCACCCAGCCACCAACCCACTCACTCACCCAGCCACCAACCCACTCACTCACTCAGCCACCCAACTACTCAATCACCCAGACACACAATCACTCACCCAGACACCCACCCATTCACTCACCCAGCCACCAACCCACTCACTCACCCAGCCACCAAACCCACTCACTCACTCAGCCACCCAACTACTCAATCACCCAGACACACAATCATTCACTCACCCAGACACCCACCCACTCACTCACCCAGCCACAAACCCACTTACTCACCTGGCCACCCAACCACTCACCCAGCCACCCAACCACTCACTCACCCACCCACTCACCCAGCCACTCATTCACTCACCCAGACACCCACCCACTCACTCACCCAGCCACCAACCCACTCACTCACTCAGCCACCCAACTACTCAATCACCCATACACACAATCATTCCCTCACCCAGACACCCACCCATCCACTCACCCAGCCACCAACCCACTCACTCACCCAGCCACCAACCCACTCACTCACTCAGCCACCCAACTACTCAATCACCCAGACACAATCATTCACTCACCCAGACACCCACCCATCCACTCACCCAGCCACCCACCCACTCATTCACTCACCCAGACACCCACTCTGTGTGTGTGTCTTTGTGTGTCTCTGTGTGTGTGTCTTTGTGTGTCTCTGTGTATGTGTCTGTGTGTGTCTCTGCGTGTGTGTCTGTGTGTGTCTGTGTGTGTGTCTGTGTGTGTCTCTGTGTGTGTGTCTGTGTGTGTGTCTGTGTGTGTCTTTGTGTGTCTCTGTGTGTGTCTCTGTGTGTGTGTCTGTGTGTGTCTCTGTGTGTGTGTCTGTGTGTGTCTCTGTGTGTGTGTCTGTGTGTGTCTCTGTGTGTGTCTATCTGTGTGTGTGTCTGTGTGTGTGTCTGTCTGTGTGTGTCTGTGTACGTGTAACGTGGGGTCACACTAACTCCGGTAGGGTTGGTCTGATACCCACCACACTCTGGTGAGGAGAGAGCTAGACGCATTGACCCAGAGGGTTCATGCATGAGCCCTGCCTGGCTGCCTGTCTGATGGTGATGATGATGCTGTGATGACGATGTTATGGTGATGATGATGTTGTGATGACGATGGTGATGATGTTAATGACGATGTTGACGATGTTGGCATTTGCCTTGCAGGGTTCTGCACGATGATGATGATGTTGTGGTGATAATGTAGTGATGATAATGTTGTGGTGATGATGTTGTGATGATAATGTTGTGATGATGATGTTGTGATGATAATGATGTTGTGATGATAATGATGTTGTGATGATGATGATGTTGTGATGATAATGATGTGATGATGATGTGATGATGATGTTGTGATGATGATGATGTTGTGGTGATGATGATGTAGTGATGATGATGTAGTGATGATGATGTTGTGGTGATGATGATGTTTTGACGATGTTATGATGATGATGCTGATGTTATGACGATGTTATGATGACAATGTTATGATGCCGATGTTATGATTATGATATGACGATGTTATGAAGATGATGTTATGACGATGATATGATGACGATGTTATGGTGACGATGTTATGATGACGATGTTATGATGACGATGTTATGATGATGATGTTATGACGATGTTATGATAATGATATGACGATGTTATGACGATGTGATGACGATGTTATGATGATGTCATGATGACGATGTTATGACGATGTTATGATGACGATGTTATGATGATGTTATGATGATGTTATGATGATAATGTTATGATGATGATGTTATGACGATGTTATGACGATGTTATGATGACGATGTTATGATGATGTTATGATGATGTTATGATGATGATGTTATGATGATGATGTTATGACGATGTTATGACGATGTTATGATAACGATGTTATGATGATGTTATGATGATATGATGATGATGTTTTGACGATGGTATGACGATGTTATGATGACGATGTTATGATGACGATGTTATGACGATGTTATGATGATGTTATGATGACGTTATGACGATGTTATCATGACGATGTTATGATGATGATGTTATGACGATGTTATGATGATGTTATGACGATGTTATGACGATGTTATGATGATGTTATGACGATGTTATGATGACGATGTTATGATGACGTCATGACGACGTTATGATGATGTTATGACGATGTTATGACGATGTTATGATGATGTTATGATGATGTTATGACGATGTTATGACGATGTTATGATGATGTTATGATAATGTTATGACGATGATGTTATGATGACGATGTTATGACGATGTTATGATGATGTTATGATGATGTTATGACGATGATGTTATGATGACGATGTTATGATGACGACGTGATGACGATGTTATGACGATGATGTTATGACGACGATGTTATGATGACGATGTTATGACGATGTTATGACGATGATGTTATGATGACCATGTTATGACGATGTTATGATGACGATGTTATGACGACGTTACGATGACGTTATGACGATGTTATTATGATGTTATGACGACGTTATGATGACGTCACGACGACGACGTTCCGTGGCAGGGTGCTGCACGAGCACCTGGGGGAGAAGAGGGTCTCACTGTCCCTACGCTTTGACGAGGTGTGTGAAGACGACCTCGTCAACTTCACCTGCGTGGTGGAGAACTACGTGGGCCGTAGGGCAGGGACGCTGCAGCTTCAGCTCGAAGGTGCGTGGGTACTTGTGGGTACTTGTGGGTACTTGTAGGTCCCTGTGGGTACTTGTAGGTCCCTGTGGGTCACTGTGGGTACTTGTAGGTCCCTGTGGGTACTTGTAGGTCCCTGTGGGTCACTGTGGGTACTTGTAGGTCCCTGTGGGTACTTGTGGGTCACTGTGGGTCACTGTGGGTCACTGTGGGTACTTGTGGGTACTTGTGGGTACTTGTGGGTCACTGTGGGTCCCTGTGGGTCACTGTGGGTACTTGTAGGTCCCTGTGGGTACTTGTGGGTTCTTGTGGGTCACTGTGGGTACTTGTGGGTACTTGTGGGTACTTGTGGGTCACTGTGGGTACTTGTGGGTACTTGTGGGATCCTGTGGGTACTTGTGGGTACTTGTGGGTACTTGTGGGTCACTGTGGGTACTTGTGGGTTCCTGTGGGTACTTGTGGGTTCCTGTGGGTCACTGTGGCTACTTGTGGGTACTTGTGGGTCACTGTGGGTCACTGTGGGTACTTGTAGGTCCCTGTGGGTACTTGTGGGTTCCTGTGGGTACTTGTGGGTCACTGTGGGTACTTGTGGGTACTTGTGGGTACTTGTGGGTTCCTGTGGGTACTTGTAGGTTCCTGTGGGTCACTGTGGGTACTTGTGGGTACTTGTGGGTCACTGTGGGTACTTGTGGGTCACTGTGGGTACTTGTGGGTACTTGTGGGTCACTGTGGATACTTGTGGGTAATTGTGGGTCACTGTGGGTACTTTTGGGTACTTGTGGGTACTTGTGGGTCACTGTGGGTACTTGTGGGTACTTGTGGGTCACTGTGGGTACTTGTGGGTACTTGTGGGTCACTGTGGGTACTTGTGGGTCACTGCGGGTACTTGTGGGTACTTGTGGGTCACTGTGGGTACTTGTGGGTCCCTGTGGGTACCTGTGGGTACTTGTGGGTACTTGTGGGTCCCTGTGGGTACTTGTGGGTTCCTGTGGGTACTTGTGGGTTCCTGTGGGTCACTGTGGGTACTTGTGGGTACTTGTGGGTCACTGTGGGTACTTGTGGGTACTTGTGGGTCACTGTGGGTACTTGTGGGTACTTGTGGGTGCTTGTAGGTCCCTGTGGGTACTTGTGGGTTCCTGTGGGTACTTGTGGGTTCCTGTGGGTCACTGTGGGTACTTGTGGGTACTTGTGGGTCACTGTGGGTACTTGTGGGTACTTGTGGGTCACTGTGGGTACTTGTGGGTCACTGTGGGTACTTGTGGGTTCCTGTGGGTCACTGTGGGTACTTGTGGGTCACTGTGGGTACTTGTGGGTACTTGTGGGTACTTGTAGGTCCCTGTGGGTACTTGTGGGTTCCTGTGGGTACTTGTAGGTTCCTGTGGGTCACTGTGGGTACTTGTGGGTACTTGTGGGTCACTGTGGGTACTTGTGGGTCACTGTGGGTCACTGTGGGTACTTGTGGGTTCCTGTGGGTACTTGTGGGTACTTGGGGGTACTTGTGGGTCACTGTGGGTACTTATGGGTACTTGTGGGTACTTGTGGGTAAAGGTGGGTACTTGTGGGTCCCTGTGGGTCACTGTGGGTACTTGTGGGTCACTGCGGGTACTTGTGGGTACTTGTGGGTCACTGTGGGTACTTGTGGGTACTTGTGGGTCACTGTGGGTACTTGTGGGTACTTGTGGGTTACTGTGGGTACTTGTAGGTACTTGTGGGTACTTGTGGGTCCCTGTGGGTACTTGTGGGTACTTGTGGGATCCTGTGGGTACTTGTGGGTCACTGTGGGTACTTGTGGGTACTTGTGGGTCACTGTGGGTACTTGTGGGTACTTGTGGGTACTTGTGGGTTACTGTGGGTACTTGTGGGTACTTGTGGGTTCCTGTGGGTACTTGTGGGTACTTGTGGGATCCTGTGGGTACTTGTGGGTACTTGTGGGTCACTGTGGGTACTTGTGGGTCACTGTGGGTACTTGTGGGTCACTGTGGGTACTTGTGGGTTCCTGTGGGTACTTGTGGGTACTTGTGGGTCACTGTGGGTACTTGTGGGTACTTGTGGGATCCTGTGGGTAATTGTGGGTACTTGTGGGCCACTGTGGGTTATTGTGGGTCACTGTGGGTACTTGTGGGTACTTGTGGGTCACTGTGGGTACTTGTAGGGCCCTATGGGTACTTGTGGGTACTTGTGGGTACTTGTGGGTCCCTGTGGGTACTTGTGGGTCACTGTGGGTACTTGTGGGTCACTGTGGGTACTTGTGGGTTCCTGTGGGTACTTGTAGGTACTTGTGGGTCACTGTGGGTACTTCTGGGTACTTGTGGGTCACTGTGGGTACTTGTGGGTACTTGTGGGTCACTGTGGGTACTTGTGGGTCCCTGTGGGTTCCTGTGGGTACTGGTAGGTCACTGTGGGTACTTGTGGGTACTTGTGGGTACTTGTGGGTCACAGTGGGTACTTGTGGGTACTTGTGGGTCACTATGGGTAGTTGTGGGACACTGTGGGTACTTGTGGGTACTTGTGGGTCACTGTGGGTACTTGTGGGTACTTGTGGGTTCCTGTGGTTACTTGTAGGTCACTGTGGGTACTTGTGGGTACTTGTGGGTACTTGTAGGTCCCTGTGGGTACTTGTGGGTACTTGTGGGTCTATGTGGGTACTTGTGGGTACTTGTAGTTCACTGTGGGTACTTGTGGGTACTTGTGGGTACTTGTAGGTCCCTGTGGGTACTTGTGGGTACTTGTGGGTCTGTGTGGGTACTTGTGGGTACTTGTAGGTCACTGTGGGTACTTGTGGGTACTTGTAGGTCCCTGTTGGTACTTGTGGGTACTCGTGGGTGCTTGTAGGTCCCTGTGGGTACTTGTGGGTACTTGTGGGTACTTGTAGGTCCCTGTGGGTACTTGTGGGTACTTGTAGGTCTCTATGGGTATTTGTGGGTACTTGTGGGTACTTGTGGGATCCTGTGGGTACTTGTGGGTACTTTTAGGTCGCTGTGCGTACTTGTGGGTACTTGTGGGTAACTGTGGGTACTTGTGGGTTCCTGTAGGTACTTGTGGGTACTTGTAGCGCCCTGTGGGTACTTGTGGGTACTTGTGGGTCCCTGTGGGTACTTGTGGGTTCCTGTGGGTCCCTGTGGGTCCCTGTGTGTACTTGTGTGTACTTGTGGTTCCTGTGGGTACTTGTGGGTAATTGTGGGTACTTGTGGGTCACTGTGGGTACTTGTGGGTACTTGTGGGTTCCTGTGGGTCCCTGTGGGTACTTGTGGGTACTTGTGGGTCCCTGTGAGTACCTGCGCGTCTCCGTGAGTACCTGTGGGTATCTGTGGGTCCCTGTGAGTACCTGTGGGTATCTGTGGGTATCTCTGGGTGACTGTGGGTACTTGTGGGTATCTGTGGGTGCTTGTGGGTGTGTATTGGTACCTGTGGGTGGGGTGGGGTGGCCGGTCTGGTCCGGGCCGGCCTGGTAGGGGCAGTGGTAGTGGCAGTGGTAGAGGTAGTGGTAGTGGTAGGGGCAGTGGCAGTGGTAGTGGTAGGGGTAGTGGTAGGGGCAGTGGTAGTGGTAGGGGTAGTGGTAGTGGTAGGGGTAGTGGTAGGGGCAGTGGTAGGGGTAGTGGTAGGGGCAGTGGTAGGGGTAGTGGAAGGGGCAGTGGTAGTGGTAGGGGTAGTGGTAGGGGTAGTGGTTAGTCTTAGTGGTAGGGGCAGTGGTAGAGGTAGTGATAGGGGTAGTGGTAGGGGTAGTGGTAGGGGTAGTGATAGGGGTAGTGGTAGGGGTAGTAGTCGTGGTTAGTGTTAGTGGTTGGGGCAGTGGTAGGGGTAGTGGTAGGGTTAGTGGTAGGGGCATTGGTAGGGGTAGTGGTAGGGGTAGGGTTAGCAGTAGGGGCAGTAGTAGGGGTAGTGGTAGTGGTAGGGGTATTGGTAGGGGTAGCGATAGGGGTAGTGGTATGGGTAGTGGTAGGGGTAGGGGCATTGGTAGGGGTAGTGGTAGGGGTAGTAGTAGGGGTAGGGGCATTGGTAGGGGTAGTGGTAGGGGCAGGGGCATTGGTAGGGGTAGTGTTAGGGGTAGTGGTAGGTGTAGTGGTAGGGGTAGGGGCATTGGTAGGGGTAGTGGTAGGGGTAGTGGTAGGGGTAGGGGCATTGGTAGGGGTAGTGGTAGGGGTAGTGGTAGGGGTAGTGGTAGCGGTAGTGGTAGGGGTAGTGGTAGGGGTAGTGGTAGGGGTAGTGGTAGGGGTCGAGTTAGGAAAGCCGGCCTACGTGCTGCAGCTCAGCCTGTTACTAAGCCCCACCCACACTGATCACCCACCCACTCACCAACCCACTCACCCACCCACTCACCCACCCACTCACCCACCCACTCACCAACCCACTCACCCACGCACCCACCCACCCACCCGCCCACCCACCCACCCACCCGCCCACCCACCCACCCACCCGCTCACCCACCCACCCGCTCACCAACTCACCCACTCACTCACCCGCTCACCCACGCACCCTCCCACCCACCCGCTCACCCACGCACCCTCCCACCGACCCGCTCACCCACCCACCCACCCACCCACCCGCTCACCCATTCACCCACTCATCCAACCGCTCACCCACCCACCAACTCACCCACTCACCCACCCACCCAACCACTCACCCACTCACCCACCCACCCGCTCACCCACCCACCCGCTCACCCACTCACCCACCCACTCACCCACCCACCCACTCACCCACCCACCCACGCGCTGTGTGTGTGTGTGGGACAGAGCCGGCTTACATGCTGCAGCTCATCCTGGGACTGAGCATGATCCTGCTGCTGCTGTGCACCTCGCTCTGCCTCTACCGCTGCTACAAGATAGACGTGGTGCTCTGGTACCGGACTCACTTCGGCTTCGACGAAGCTCGAGGCGGTGGGTCGCACGCACACGCCTCGGTGACTCGGAGATGTTGACTACCTCGCCCGGTGTGCAGGAGGTCGTGGGTTCGATCTTGACCCTGACGATGCCTGCTGCTGCTGCTGTATATTTGGAGTCTGCGTGTCTCTCTCTCTCTCTCATCATCATCACGGTAGCTAGGAGATGTTGACTACCTCGCCCGGTATACAGGAAGTCGTGGGTTTGATCCCGACCCTGACGATGCCTGCTGCTGTATATTTGGAGTCTGCGTGTGTCTCTCTCTCTGATCATCATCACGGTGGCTAGGAGATGTTGACTACCTCGCCCGGTGTGCAGGAGGTCGTGGGTTTGATTCCGAACCTGACGATGCCTGCTGCTGCTGTATATTTGGAGTCTGTGTCTCTGTCTCTCATCATCATCACGGTAGCTAGGAGATGTTAACTACCTCGCCTGGTATACAGGAAGTTGTGGGTTCGATCTTGACCCTGACGATGCCTGCAGCTGTATATTTGAAGTCTGCGTGTGTCTCTCTCTCATCATCATCATCACCACGATGCTATGAGATGTTGACTACCTCGCCTGGTATACAGGAAGTCGTGGGTTTGATCCCGACCCTGACGATGCCTGCTGCTGTATATTTGGAGTCTGTGTCTCTGTCTCTCATCATCATCATCACGGTGGCTAGGAGATGTTGACTACCTCGCCCGGTGTGCAGGAAGTCGTGGGTTCGATTCCGAACCTGAGGATTCCTGCTGCTGTATATTTGGAGTTTGCGTGTCTCTCTCTCTCTCATCATCATCACGGTGGCTAGGAGATGTTGACTACCTCGCCCAGTATACAGGAAGTCGTGGGTTCGATCTTGACCCTGACGATGCCTGCTGCTGCTGCTGCTGTATATTTGGAGTCTGCGTGTCTCTCTCTCTCTCATCATCATCACGGTAGCTAGGAGATGTTGACTACCTCGCCCGGTATGCAGGAAGTCGTGGGTTCGATCTTGACCCTGACGATGCCTGCTGCTGCTGTATATTTGGAGTCTGTGTCTCTCTCTCTCATCATCATCATCACGGTGGCTAGGAGATGTTGACTACCTCGCCCGGTATACAGGAAGTCGTGGGTTCGATCTTGACCCTGACGATGCCTGCTGCTGCTGCTGTATATTTGGAGTCTGTGTGTCTCTCTCTCTCTCATCATCATCACGGTAGCTAGGAGATGTTGACTACCTCGCGCGGTATGCAGGAAGTCGTGTGTTTGATTTCGAACCTGACGATGCCTGCAGCTGTATATTTGGAGTCTGTGTCTCTGTCTCTCATCATCATCACGGTGGCTAGGAGATGTTGACTACCTCGCCCGGTATACAGGAAGTCGTGGGTTCGATCTTGACCCTGACGATGCCTGCTGCTGCTGTTGTATATTTGGAGTCTGCGTGTCTCTCTCTCTCTCATCATCATCACGGTAGCTAGGAGATGTTGATTACCTCGCCCGGTATACAGGAAGTCGTGGGTTCGATCTTGACCCTAACGATGCCTGCTGCTGCTGCTGTATATTTGGAGTCTGCGTGTCTCTCTCTCTCTCTCTCATCATCATCACGGTAGCTAGGAGATGTTGACTACCTCGCCCGGTATACAGGAAGTCGTGGGTTTGATCGTGACCCTGACGATGCCTGCTGCTGCTGTATATTTGGAGTCTGTGTCTCTGTCTCTCATCATCATCATCACGGTAGCTAGGAGATGTTGACTACCTCGCCTGGTATACAGGAGGTCGTGGGTTCGATCCCGACCCTCACGACGCCTGCAGCTGTATATTTGGAGTTTGTGTCTCTCTCTCTCATCATCATCACGGTAGCTAGGAGATGTTGACTACCTCGCCCGGTATACAGGAAGTCGTAGGTTCGATCTTGACCCTGACGATGCCTGCTGCTGTATATTTGGAGTCTGCGTGTCTCTCATCATCATCACGGTGGCTAGGAGATGTTGACTACCTCGCCCGGTCTGCAGGAGGTCGTGGGTTCGATCCCGACCCTGACGACGCCTGCAGCTGTATATTTTGAGTCTGCATGTGTCTCTCTCTCATCATCATCATCATCACCCTCCTCATCCTCCCTCCTCCTCCACCTTTCTCCCCCACCCTCTCTCTCTCTCTAGTCCTACATAAATACACATTCTCAATCTGAATCTTTACAGTAGATATTAACTTGGCTAGAGGCTGACTAATTCAATATTAACCGGACCCTTATACCGACAATTAATCATTCTGCCGGATAGATTTTTGCATGCCCTAAGTATCGCTAGAGCGGTTTGGAAAGCAATTTGCAATTAAAGATGTCTTTTTTTACATTTCCCTATAAATTGAGCGTCTCGTTTCTGTGAGGTTGTAGTTGCGGTGGTGTTGGTTGCAGTGTGGGTTGGTGGGTGTGGGTGGGTGGGTAAGTGGGTGGGTGTGTGGGTGAGTGGGTGGGTGGGTTGGTGGGTGTCGGTGGGTGAGTGGGTTAGTGGGTGTGGGTGGGTTGGTGGGTGGGTTGGTGGGTGGGTTGGTGTGGGTGAGTGCGTTGGTGGGTTGGTGGGTGGGTGTGGGTGAGTGGGTGAGTGGGTTGGTGGGTGTGTGGGTGGGTTGGTGGGTGTGGATGGGTGAGTGGATGGGTGGGTTGGTGGGTGTGGGTGGGTGTGTGGGTTGGTGGGTGGGTTGGTGGGTTGGTGGGTGTGGGTGGGTGGGTAAGTGGGTGAGTGGGTGGGTGGGTTTGTGGGTGTGGGTGGGTGGGTTGGTGGGTGTGGGTGGGTGAGTGGATGGGTGGGTTGGTGGGTGTGGGTGGGTGTGTGAGTTGGTGGGTGGGTTAGTGGGTGGGTTGGTGGGTGTGGGTGGGTTGGTGGGTGTGGGTGGGTGTGATTAGGTGGGTGGGTGTGTGTGGGTGAGTGGGTGGGTGTGGGTGGGTGTAAGTGGGTGTGAGTAGGTAGGTGTTGGTGGGAGGGTGTGAGTAGGTGAGTGTGTAAGCGTGAATGGGTGAACTTAAGTATGAGTAGGTGTGGCTGGGTGTAGATAGTGCTGTGTGTGTAGTAAACATCACCACTGGGTAGACAAAGTCGGCCAGGCGTGATGCTGCCCCTACAGTCACAAAGCCTTCCACTGGCTGTCCATGTGTCTCTGTGTGTCTCTGTGTCTGTATCTGTCTCTGTCTGTGTGTGTCTCTGTGTGTCTCTCTGTGTATGTCTCTGACTCTCTGTGTGTCTCTGTGTCTGTCTCTGTGTCTCTGTCTCTGTGTCTATCTGTGTATGTCTCTGTGTGTCTCTGTGTTTGTCGGTGTGTCTCTCTGTGTCTGTCTCTGTGTCTCTGTGTCTTTGTTTGTCGGTGTATCTCTCTGCGTCTGTCTCTGTGCCTGTATCTGTCTCTCTCTGTGTGTGTCTCTGTGTGTCTCTCTGTGTATGTCTCTGACTCTCTGTGTGTCTCTGTGTCTGTCCCTGTGTCTCTGTCTCTGTGTCTATCTGTGTATGTCTCTGTGCGTCTCTGTGTTTGTCGGTGTGTCTCTCTGTGTCTGTCTCTGTCTCTCTCTCTGTGTCTCTGTCCGTGTGTCTCTGTGTGTGTCTCTCTGTGTCTCTCTCTGTCTGTCCCTGTGTCTCTGTGTGTATGTGTCTTTGTCTGTGTCTCTGTCTGTGTCTGTGTGTCTATGTGTCTTTGTCTGTATGTCTATGTTTCTTTGGCTGTGTCTGTGTGTCTATGTGTCTTTGTCTGTGTCTGTTTCTCTATGTGTCTGTGTGTCTTTGTCTGTGTTTGTGTGTCTATGTGTCTGTGTCTGTGTGTCTGTGTGTCTTTGTCTGTGTCTGTGTGTCTATGTCTGTGTTTCTGTGTCTCTATCTGTGTCTGTGTGTCTATGTGTCGTTGTCTTTGTGTCTATGTGTCTTTGTCTGTGTGTCTCTCTGTGTGTCTCTGTCTGTGTCTCTGTGTGTGTCTATGTGTCTGTATCTGTGTCTGTGTGTCTATGTGTCTGTCTCTGTGTCTCTGTCTGTGTCTATGTGTCTCTGTCTGTGTCTCTGTCTGTGCTTATGTCTCTGTCTGTGTCTGTGTGTCTATTTCCGTGTCTCTGTCTGTGTCTCTGTGTGTCTATGTGTCTCTGTCTGTGTCTCTGTCTCTCTGTCTCACTGTCTCTGTGTGTCTCTGTCTCTGTGTCTGTCTCTCTGTCTCTCTGTCTCACTGTCTGTGTCTCTCTGTCTGTCTCTCTGTCTCTATCTCTCTGTCTCTCTGTCTCACTGTATGTCTCTGTCTCTCTGTCTCTATGTCTCTGTCTCACTGTCTCTGTGTCTGTCTATGTAGACAACAAGGAGTACGACGCATTTGTCTCTGTCTCTCTGTCTCTGTCTGTCTCTCTGTGTGTCTCTGTCTCTCTGTGTCTGTCTCTCTGTCTGTCTCACTGTGTGTCTGTCTCACTGTCTGTCTCTCTGTCTGTCTCACTGTGTGTCTCTGTGTGTGTCTATGTAGACAACAAGGAGTATGACGCCTTTTTCTCTGTCTCTGTGTCTGTCTCTGTCTCTCTGTCTCTCTGTGTGTCTCTGTCTCTCTGCCTCTGTCTGTCTCTCTGTCTCACTGTGTGTCTCTGTCTCTCTGTCTCTGTGTCTGTCTCTCTGTGTGTCTCTGTGTCTGTCTCTGTGTCTGTCTCTCTGTGTTTGTCTGTCTGTCTGTCTCTCTGTCTCTGTGTCTCTGTGTGTCTCTGTCTCTCTGTCTCTGTCTGTCTGTCTCTCTGTGTGTGTCTCTCTGTCTCACTGTGTGTCTCTGTCTCTCTGTCTCTGTCTGTCTGTCTCTCTGTGTGTGTCTGTCTGTCTCTCTGTCTCTGTGTCTCTGTGTGCCTCTGTCTCTCTGTCTCTGTCTGTCTCTCTGTGTGTGTCTCTCTGTCTATGTCTCACTGTGTCTCTGTCTCACTGTCTCTGTGTGTGTCTGTAGACAACAAGGAGTACGACGCCTGTGTCTCTGTCTCTCTGTGTCTGTCTCTGTCTCTCTGTCTCTCTGTGTCTCTCTGTCTCTGTGTCTCTGTTTCACTGTCACTGTGTGTCACTGTCTCACTGTCTCTGTGTCTCTGTCTCACTGTCTGTCTCTCTTTGTGTCTCTGTCTCTCTGTCTCACTGTGTGTCTCTGTCTCTCTGTCTCTCTGTGTCTGTCTCACTGTGTGTCTCTGTCTCACTGTGTGTCTGTGTGTGTGTAGACAACAAGGAGTACGACGCCTTCGTCTCTGTCTCTCTGTGTCTCAGTCTCTGTGTGTCTTTGTGTCTCTGTCTCACTGTCACTGTGTGTCACTGTCTCACTGTGTGTCTCTGTGTGTCTCTGTCTCACTGTGTGTCTCTGTCTCCCTGTGTGTCTCACTGTCTCTGTGTGTCTGTCTCACTGTCTCTGTGTGTCTCTCTGTCTCACTGTCTCTCTGTCTCATTGTCTCTGTGTCTCTGTCTCTCTGTGTCTGTGTCTCTGTCTCTCTGTCTCACTGTGTGTCTCTCTGTCTGTCTCTGTGTCTCTGTGTGTGTGTAGACAACAAAGAGTACGACGCTTTTGTCTCTGTCTCTCTGTCTCTGTCTCTCTGTCTCTGTCTCACTGTCTCTGTGTGTCTCTCTGTCTCACTGTCTCTCTGTCTCATTGTCTCTGTCTCTCTGTCTCTGTCTCACTGTGTGTCTGTCTCACTGTGTGTCTGTGTGTGTAGACAACAAAGAGTACGACGCCTTTGTCTCTGTCTCTCTGTCTCTGTCTCACTGTCTCTGTGTGTCTCTCTGTCTCACTGTCTCTCTGTCTCATTGTCTCTGTCTCTCTGTCTCTGTCTCACTGTGTGTCTCTGTGTCTCTGTGTGTCTGTGTGTGTGTAGACAACAAGGAGTACGACGCCTTTGTCTCTGTCTCTGTGTGTCTCTGTCTCTGTGTGTCTCTGTCTCACTGTCTCTGTGTGTCTGTCTCACTGTGTGTCTCTGTCTCATTGTCTCTGTGTGTCTGTGTGTGTGTAGACAACAAGGAGTACGACGCCTTTGTCTCTGTCTCTCTGTGTCTCTGTCTCTGTGTGTCTCTGTGTCTCTGTCTCACTGTCACTGTGTGTCACTGTCTCTCTGTCTCTCTGTGTCTGTCTCTGTCTCACTGTCTCTGTGTGTCTCTGTGTGTCTCTCTGTCTCTCTGTCTCACTGTCTATGTGTCTCTGTCTCACTGTGTGTCTGTGTGTGTGTAGACAACAAGGAGTATGACGCCTTTGTCTCTGTGTCTCTGTCTCTGTCTCTCTGTGTCTCTGTCTCACTGTCTGTGTGTCTCTGTGTGTCTGTCTCTCTGTCTCTGTGTCTCTGTCTCTCTGTCTCACTGTGTGTCTCTCTGTCTGTCTCACTGTGTCTCTGTGTGTGTTTAGACAACAAGGAGTACGACGCCTTTGTCTCTGTCTCTCTGTCTCTGTGTCTCTGTCTCACTGTCTCTCTGTCTCACTGTGTGTCTCTCTGTCTGTCTCACTGTCTCACTGTGTGTCTGTGTGTCTGTAGACAACAAGGAGTACGACGCCTTTGTCTCTGTCTCTCTGTGTTTCTGTCTCTGTGTGTCTTTGTGTCTCTGTCTCACTGTCTCTGTGTGTCTCTGTGTCTCTGTCTCACTGTCACTGTGTGTCTCTGTCTCACTGTCTATGTGTCTCTGTCTCACTGTGTGTCTCTGTCTCACTGTGTCTATGTAGACAACAAGGAGTACGACGCCTTTGTCTCTGTCTCTGTGTGTCTCTGTCTCCCTGTGTGTCTCTGTCTCTCTGTCTGTCACTGTGTCTGTGTGTGTGTAGACAACAAGGAGTACGACGCCTTTGTCTCTGTCTCTCTGTGTCTCTGTCTCTGTGTGTCTCTGTGTCTCTGTCTCACTGTCTATGTGTCTCTGTCTCACTGTGTGTCTCTGTCTCACTGTGTCTATGTAGACAACAAGGAGTACGACGCCTTTGTCTCCTACACACGCTCCGAGCCGGCATCGTGGAGCGGAGACGGTTGCCATGACGACCTCGTCCTGGAGCTGCTGCCCGACGTGCTGGAGCGTCACTATGGATACCGTCTCTTCATCCCTGACCGGGACCTCATCCCAGCCAATAGTAACGCTCGCCGCTCACTCACTCACTCACTTACCCAGTCACTCACCCACTCACTCACACACTCACACACTCACTCACTCACCCACTCGCTCACACACTCACACACTCATCCACTCACTCACCCACTCACACACTCACTCACTCACCCACTCACACACTCACACACTCTTCATCCCTGACCGGGACCTCATCCCAGCCAATAGTAACGCTCGCCGCTCACTCACACACTCACTCACACACACACTCACTCACCCACTCGCTAACTCACTCACTCACTCACCCACTCGCTAACTCACTCACTCACACACTCACACACTCACTCATCCACTCACTCACTCATCCACTCACTCACTCATCCACTCACTCACACACTCACTCACTCAGACACTCACTCACTCACACACTCACTCACCCACTCACCCACTCACTCACACACTCACCCACTCACACACTCACACACTCTTCATCCCTGACCGGGACCTCATCCCAGCCAATAGTAACGCTCACCGCCGCTCGCTCACTCACTCACTTACCAACTCACTCACTCACTCACCCACTCGCTAACTCACTCACACACACTCACACACTCACTCACTCACACACTCACTCACTCACTTACCCACTCACTCACACACTCACACACTCATCCACTCACTCACTCATCCACTCGCTAACTCACTCACACACACACTCACACACACACTCACACACTCACTCACTCATCCACTCACACACTCACTCAACCACTCACTCACTCAGACACTCACTCAACCACTCACTCACTCACACACTCACTCAACCACTCACTCGCTCACACACTGACTCACTCACTCATCCACTCACACACTCACCTACTCACCCACTCACTCACTCACTCACACACTCACCCACTCACTCACACACTCACTCACTCACTCATCCACTCACTCACCCATCCACTCGCTAACTCACTCACACACTCACTCACTCACACACTCACTCACTTACTCAATCACACACTCACTCACTTACTCACCCACTCACTCACTCACACACTCACTCACTCACAGACTCACTCACTCACCCACTCACACACTCACTCAATCACTCATCCACTCACTCACTCACACACTCACACACTCACTCACCCACTCACTCACTCAATCACTCACTCACACACTCACTCACTCACACACTCACTCACTCACCCACTCACACACTCACTCACTCACCCACTCACACACTCACTCACACACTGACTCACTCACTCACCCACTCACTCATTCACTCACTCAATCACACACTCACTCACCCACTCACACACTCACTCACTAATTCACCCACTCACACAACCACTTACTCACTCACCCACTCACACACTCACTCACACACTCACTCACTCACCCACTCACACACTCACTCACACACTCACTCACTCACTCACCCACCCACTCACTCACTCACTCACCCACTCAATCACATACTCACTCACTCACCCACTTACACACTCACTCACTCACTCACCCACTCACTCACCCACTCACCCACTCACCCACTCATTCATCCACACACTCACTCACTCACCCACTCACCCAATCACTCACTCACTCACTTACCCACTCACTCACTCACCCACTCACTCACTCACTCACCCACTCGCTCACTCACTTACCCACCCACTCACTCGCTCACTCACTCACTCACCCATTCATTCACTCACCCACCCACTCACTCACCCACTCACTCACTCAGACACTCACTCACTCACTCACCCACTCATTCACTCACCCACCCACTCACTCACCCACTCACTCACCCACTCACTCACTCGCTCGCTCACTCACTCACTCACCCATTCATTCACTCACCCACCCACTCACTAACACACTCACTCTCTCACCCACTCACTGACCATTCACACACTCACCCACTCACCCACCCACTCGCTCACCCATTCACTCACCTACTCATCCACTCACCCACTTACTCACCACTCACACACCCACTCACCACTCCCTCACTCGCCAACCACTCAGTACTCGCTCACTCGCTCACCACTCTCTCGCTCACTGGCTCACCATTCGATCACCACCACCACCACCACAACAACAACAACTCCTTGAGAGAGAGAGACACCCAGACCCAGGGCTCGAACCCAGACTCTCAGTGTCTCCGACACGACCATCGTGAACCCACAGAGAGAGAGAGAGAGACACCCAGACCAGGACTCGAACCCAGACTCTCAGTGTCTCCGACATGGCCATCGTGAACCCACAGAGGGAGAGAGACACCCAGACCCAGGGCTTGAACCCAGACTCTCAGTGTCTCCGACACGGCCATCGTGAACCCACAGAGGGAGAGAGACACCCAGACCCAGGGCTCGAACCCAGACTCTCAGTGTCTCCGACACGACCATTGTGAACCCACAGAGAGAGAGACACCCAGACCCAGGGCTCGAACCCAGACTCTCAGTGTCTCCGACACGACCATTGTGAACCCCACAGAGAGAGAGAGACACCCAGACCCAGGGCTCGAACCCAGACTCTCAGTGTCTCCGACACGACCATTGTGAACCCCACAGAGAGAGAGACACCCAGACCCAGGGCTCGAACCCAGACTCTCAGTGTCTCCGACACGACCATTGTGAACCCACAGAGAGAGAGAGACCCAGACCCAGGGCTCGAACCCAGACTCTCAGTGTCTCTGACACGGCCATCGTGAACCCCACAGAGAGAGAGAGAGACACCCAGACCCAGGGCTCGAACCCAGACTCTCAGTGTCTCCGACACGACCATTGTGAACCCCACAGAGAGAGAGAGACACCCAGACCCAGTGCATGAACCCAGACTCTCAGTGTCTTTGAAACGGCCATCGTGAACCCACAGAGAGAGAGAGACACCCAGACCCAGGGCTCGAACCCAGACTCTCAGTGTCTCTGACAAGGCCATCGTGAACCCCACAGAGAGAGAGAGAGACACCCAGACCCAGGGCTTGAACCCAGACTCTCAGTGTCTCCGACACGACCATTGTGAACCCCACAGAGAGAGAGAGAGACACCCAGACCCAGGGCTCGAACCCAGACTCTCAGTGTCTCCGACACGACCATTGTGAACCCCACAGAGAGAGAGAGAGACACCCAGACCCAGGGCTCGAACCCAGACTCTCAGTTTCTCTGACATGGCCATCGTGAACCCAGAGAGAGAGAGAGAGACACCCAGACCCAGGGCTCGAACCCAGACTCTCAGTGTCTCCGACACGACCATTGTGAACCCCATAGAGAGAGAGAGACACCCAGACCCAGGGCTCGAACCCAGACTCTCAGTGTCTCTGACACGGCCATGGTGAACCCCACAGAGAAAGAGAGAGAGAGAGACACCCAGACCCAGGGCTCGAACCCAGACTCTCAGTTTCTCTGACATGGCCATCGTGAACCCCACAGAGAGAGAGAGACACCCAGACCCAGGGCTCGAACCCAGACTCTCAGCGTCTCTGACACGGCCATCGTGAACCCACAGAGAGAGAGAGAGAGACACCCAGACCCAGGGCTTGAACCCAGACTCTCAGTGTCTCTGACACGGCCATTGTGAACCCCACAGAGAGAGAGAGGGGTGGAGACACGGGGGGGGGGGAGGGGTGGGTGGTGCTTCTATAATTTTAATAATTCAGGAAGCTGCGCCGATCAAAAAGTGAAAACCATTTTTTTTAACACAACAAAACCAAAAAAAATCCCTTCTCATCTATTTTTGAACGCGCGGTTGCCAGTGGGTCACGCGAGCCATTGAGAGCCACGGTGACCCAGGTGAGCCAGGAATGGCTCTCTGTGTGTGTGTCTGTCTCTCTCTCTTGCGTGTCTCACGCGAGCCAGAGAGATAGGATCGCGTGTCTCTCTCTCTCTCTATCTCTCTCTCTCTCCCCCCCCTCGCACTCCCTCTCCCTCTCTCTCCGTCATTGTTAAGTGATTCGTCTGCTGTGCCGCGTGTTTTAACGCATCCGCCAAATTGATCCGAACTTTTGAGGGCACGCTCGAGGCGATACGCACGCACGCACTCACTCACGCACACAAAGACAAAGATCCCCCGTGTAGCCTCTAGCAAACTGTTGGGGCAAGTGCTGTTAGTAGTAGCGAGTAGCAGCGCCTATACACAGACAAAGATCCCCCGTGTAGCCTCTAACAGACTGCAGGGGCAAGTGCTGTTAGTAGTAGCGAGTAGCAGCGCCTATACACAGACAAAGATCCCCCGTGTAGCCTCTAACAGACTGCAGGGGCAAGTGCTGTTAGCGAGTAGCAGCAGCACCTATACACAGACAAAGATCCCCCGTGTAGCCTCTAACAGACTGCTGGGGCAAGTGCTGTTAGTAGTAGCGAGTAGCAGCAGCACCTATACACAGACAAAGATCCCCCGTGTAGCCTCTAACAGACTGCTGGGGCAAGTGCTGTTAGTAGTAGCGAGTAGCAGCAGCACCTATACACAGACAAAGATCCCCCGTGTAGCCTCTAACAGACTGCTGGGGCAAGTGCTGTTAGTAGTAGCGAGTAGCAGCAGCACCTATACACAGACAAAGATCCCCCGTGTAGCCTCTAACAGACTGCTGGGGCAAGTGCTGTTAGTAGTAGCGAGTAGCAGCAGCACCTATACACAGACAAAGATCCCCCGTGTAGCCTCTAACATACTGCTGGGGCAAGTGCTGTTAGTAGTAGCGAGTAGCAGCGCCTATACACAGACAAAGATCCCCCGTGTAGCCTCTAACAGACTGCTGGGGCAAGTGCTGTTAGTAGTAGCGAGTAGCAGCAGCACCTATACACAGACAAAGATCCCCCGTGTAGCCTCTAACAGACTGCTGGGGCAAGTGCTGTTAGTAGTAGCGAGTAGCAGCAGCACCTATACACAGACAAAGATCCCCCGTGTAGCCTCTAACAGACTGCTGGGGCAAGTGCTGTTAGTAGTAGCGAGTAGCAGCAGCACCTATACACAGACAAAGATCCCCCGTGTAGCCTCTAACAGACTGCTGGGGCAAGTGCT